GCTGCAATGGCGCTCCAGGACATGAATGGCATTCTGAAATTTATGGAAACATAAATTCTACTTTCTAGAACAAAATCCCATGGCTCAAAAGAATATATTAAAATAACTCAATTAGTGTGGTCTAAATTAATGGACTAGTTTAATCCTGAGCTTCAATCTGATTGACATGCGGTAGCGTGACCTAAAACAGGTTGTTCATGTTAAAAAATCCTAAAATGCGGCTGAAATAAAGCAACTCTGCAAGGAAGAGCACATCAAACTTTCCTCACATTGAGGTAAAGACTCACAGCCAAATATGCCAAGTGTGTCTCATGGTGAGTGATTTCTACCAAAGGTGGAAAGTTATTAGGATTTCAGTTATCAGGTGTAAGAGGCAACTACTTTTCACAGCTTGATTTGTGAAAATCTTTTGTCCTCTAACAAATAGTCACTGAATTTTGGTTTTGTTCAGGCTTTCTTTGCCTGGTATTAAAGTTAGCTTGATGATCTGTAGTATTCCCAGTTTCAAAGCCTGTTTTCAAAGCATAAACAAATTCTGTAAAAGGATATTTAGAGAATATCCTTTTTATATCCGTTGATATGGAGGTAGTACAAACCCAGTTATCCTTCCAAATATATGCATATCTGGAGCTGCTCCATATGCTGGGAAATCTCATGAGTATGCATATCTACATACTAAAGTATCTTATGTTATTATTTCTATTTTAATCTCCACAGTTAAAAACAGCAATTTAAGGAGTTATGTAATAATAGTTAAGGCCCAGCAGTTCTCAATTATATAAAGTAAATATCACTTCTGGCAAATCTAACATCGACTACGACGTAACTCGCACCCAAATGCTTCGCCAAACTTCAGGAAGTGTCTAATTATTCAACACAAATGTAGCTTCCTCACTAAGCTGCAAGCTCAACGACCAAGACAAATAATTAAAGGGCACCAAATCTATAATTAAGATACATTTCCATGTTTAGTACGTGAGCCATATTTCTGCTTCGGCTGATGTGCCGTATTTACCGTGGAGATTGTTCCTCTGGGAGCCGGTGGAGCGGTGAAGCAGACCCGCTGCACAAAAGGCAGCTGAGATAAAAGAGTGCAGAACACCTGGACCAAAGCACCGCCACGTGATGCATCATGTAAAACCAGGGCTGTCACTGAGGACTTACGCATAAGAGAGCAGTTTGAGACAGTCAGAGTGAAAAAAAAAACAGAATCAATACGTGTTGCGGAATATTATTGTCGCAAAACAGCATCGCACAAACTGAAAGCTGATTTCATTTCGCACAGATAGAAGATGATTATTTATGCATTATAGCTTCGTGAAGTGTTATTTTGACTGAGTTACGCCAATGTGCACCACAAGTTAAAGCCTTAATATTTAAAGAATTTCATGTCTGGAGGTCAAATAACAGCTTAACCTTTGAATCCATCCCCTTTATGTCTAACATATGTGCTTCTCTCCAGGCACTATTCACCACTCCTGCTTTCCCAGTAGTAAAATGACACATCAGGGGATTTATTAGCTGGTAATAAGCAAACTCCTGCTAAGCTGGCTCATTGTGGTGTTGCCTACAGCACAAGATGATTTATGGGTGTTACCATAAATCATCCTGCAGGGACAGGCACAATGCTGGAGGTGGAGATGGAAGAGGGCTGGTGGAAGGAGTGCAGTGGTCAGCATTATTAATAGCGATGGAGAAAATTAAGTTCTGCTTATGAAGCCATTTGTCTCCAATGCAACACAGGAGTGTGAATCAGACTTGATAAAAATAAATAATAATAATGAGCAAACACTTCTCCAAGAAATGTGGATGACCTTTGGGCTGCAGCTGATAGAACTGATATAGTTTTATGTGGGTGAAGTTTTATTTTTGTTCCTACATTAATTAGTGATTAACTCCTTCTAAAGGGATGCTCTAAAATGAACCAAATATAAAATGTAAATGTTGTTGCAAAGTTTCACACTCAAAGTCCAAAAAAGGTTTTGGTTTTTGCTTACGGGGGCTATTTCTTTAAAAGTAACTGGCTTAAAATCTGTCCAGTCTAAATTTAAAACTGTTCTCTATAGAGCACAATGATCCCAAACAGATAAATAAATAACACGAGGGTCTAGTTTTGAATCTGCATGGAATTATGTATGCTATATCGCTATTTAAAACAATTTGTGCTTATTAAAAAACACAATGAAGAATCTGATTTATGATGAGTGCTGCATGATTTATAGGGCAATAAAGATGAGTCTGTAACATTTCCTCTACTCTGAACTGGAAAATGGAAAAACTTTACCTCTTAAATTTCTGAATGGCACAAAAAATATATTTTCTTTTTTTAAACCTAAAGGGGAATAGAAGATGAGAAGCTTTTTTTTTTTTTTTTTTTGAGTTTCTGAGAACTTTGGGCCAAAAAGCACAGAAGGAGAACAACAAACATATGTTTTTCATAACATGTCACCCCTCAAGCTGGGGGACATGTCATGCTATACTGCATTTCCAAAGAATTATCAAATAAACAGTTCAACCTGGAAAGACTCAGATGGAGAAAAAGGAACAATTAAAAGATTTAATGACAGGAATGAATGACAGTTTTTTGGCGCTCGGGCCCCGGCAGCTGATTTGAGCTGAGATATGATGTGAACTCGATGAACATCCCAATAACTGATTAGGTATGCTCTCCCCCCGGGGCCCAACACTGGTGGTGGAGGTCAGGAAAGGGTGCTATCCTGGAGAGCTGAAGGATGTGGGTGGACAAGGGGCGGTGTGGTGGGTTGAACGCAGCTGGGAACCGGCTGACGGCTTGGGTGTGGATCCTTTTATGCAGAGCTTGATTGATGATTGGATGGGCCGGGTGAGGTCCAGCGCTGAAGATGGAGATGAGCATGACGCCGATGAGCGAAAGGAGGGGGCCAGAGTCTTCCAGGTTGAACTTTCGCTGTAGCTCCATTTTATAGAAAGAACAGCAGTTGAGTAAATTAACTGCAGTCGACAAATAGTGCTGGATTTGTTTTTTCTTGTAGGTCAAAACCACTCCAAGTTCTCTTTTTTAAGCCCTGCTCTTTCCTCTTCTCCCTTTAGGAGCAGCAGAGTCTTCCCAAATCATCGTCTCCTCCACACTCACACCTCATTACCAGAGGAAGGGGAATAAAAACTGGCTGTATGGAGCATCAGAATCGATGAGACGGTGAAATAGTTTTAGAAAGTTTCATTCAGAAGATAGGAAAACTGTGCTGCTGATAATTAGGGAAGGAAAATGTTTGAAAGAAACGTAGCAAGGCAATTAAAATAAGAGATTAGCGCTGGGTTTGTCGACTGCAGGTTTTTCTTCATTCTTACTGTTTTATTGCACATTCAATTTTGTTTCTCAGGACAAATTCTCTGCAACACCATCTGACCTGACTGACAGCTCTTTGCAACAAGCAACAAAGATACAGAGCTTGTACTTAATGCATCTTTAGCAGGATCACATGTGTTTAATATAAATTTAAGCTTCATTCAGCAGCTTTCTTGCTACTCTCCTTGAATAACTCTAAAGTCATACTTACTTTTGGTCATATAAGAGCCTTGGGATAGCCTTTACCTTCACTCCTACTGCAAATGCATTTCTTTCATTCTATGCTGTAAAATAGTGCAGATTAGATGTGCCATGTTCGTGAACAAGAAGAAATATATGTGCATGATGTTATTTAGACAAGACTCAAATAAATTTTTCCGGGCATCTATTCAATCTGTAGCATAGGGATGTGTTTATGTGTCTGGCTGAGCAGATAGTCTCAGTGAAAATCAATACCGCCTACAGATGCTTTCATGTACTATTCAGCAAAAGCATGAGAATTAACGGTCCATGAATACACTGACTGTGGGCAAAATGAAAAGAGAGAGGGAGAGATGTAGAGAAAAAAGAAAGGCATAATCTGAACAGATTTTTGCAGCTTTTAAACAATAGTTTTACAGCCTTGCACACGCTTGTCTTACTTGTCTCTTGCTCTAAATAGTAGAATAAAAAAACATTCTCACTTCAAAACAAAACAGTTACGAAATGCTTTCACATTTTTATCATGCCTCTTCTTGTTTTTTGCATCATTAAAATGCTAAGAAAAGACATTAAGAAACTTTCTTCTTAAAAACACCATATTTCTTTTTGTTTGTTTTTCTCTGTTTTATGTCATGTATTTAATCAGTTTTTTTTACTTTTTTTGCACTGAGAACATGAATACTCAGATAACCTCTGCCATTTAGGGAGATTCATGCTGTTTTACGAGTCCTTAGAAGAAGTGCCAATTTAAACATATATTTACACACCCATTATCAATATTTAGATGGAAAAAAAGATGGAAGCATTGTATGTTAGTTTTTTGTACATTGTAATTATTACTTATTATCTATTTTATCCCATTTTGAAGTCGTTCTGCCACTCCTTGAATTCTAGAACCATACATTTACTTAAGCTGCATATGAAGAAATAAAAACATTTTCTCAGTGTCTGACATTACATCACATAAAAAGGTTTCCCTGTTTTAGGTCTGACTACCAGCGTATTTTCTATTTGCTAAATCCCAGAACAATGAAATGTGTGACTTGGGTCACAAATTCTATGTATCCTTCAACCATCGTCTTATAATAGTTTGATAAAATTTTGGTCAATACCTTCAGACACAACAATTCGCTCATTCTTACCTTTTCGCTCACAACTGTTCAGTGATCTTCATAAATTTCGAGTTGGACTGAGACCAGGACTTTTTGATGACCCTTCAGTTTTTTGTCCTTAATCCACTTTGTTATACTTTCATGATATTTTTAGGATTATTGTGAATTTAGAAGACATCCAAACATTAACTTCCTGGCTGATTTCTGCATCAACATTTGAACATATTAATCAAAATCCTCAATGTAGCTAAGGTTATTACAATAACAAATATAATTGTTGTTTAGGCAGAACAGCTATGATCAACTTTAAACCCTCATTTTTGAAGTAATGCGACTGTTATTAAGGAAACTGTTTAACTTACTTTCTGAAGGTTGGTATGGACCCTTGTAATGACCGTCCAGGAGAAGTCCCTGACCCGTGGCTCTGTCCTGAAAGCAAGCTGTCTGTTTCAAAAGCAAACATGCCATCACGATCATCAGGGACATCCAGGAACTCTCCATCGCTCCACATCCCCCCTGTGCCATCCATCGGCTGGTATCTAATATCTATGGTGACACTGGTCTGAAAAGGAAAGAAGACATTAAAACATTGGGGCCAAATTATGACAGAGTGCTTCACTTTAAAATTGGCATGTGCTAGACGTGCTCTCACTTTTATAAGTGAGCTCTAAGGTGATGTGCTTTTAGAGTTGATTTGCTAAGCAGACTCAAAGAAAGAAGATTGATCGACTAACGCTGTGCCTCCTGCATAAAACAACAACTTCCAGTCTGTCACATACTATTTGTTGGTTTTAGGATTAGTTTGGATACAGGAAAACCAATGTTTCCCTGCTTGGTTGATCTGTTTCTTCTTCCTTATTTTGTTTGGAGTGGCCCAGGATCGCCTGTTATTTTGTTGTGAGGATAATTCTTCTTAATTTTGAGTTCAATTGTAGCAGCTGGGCTGGTTTTCGTTTCTTAGGTTTCTTTAGAGCCATTTTCAGTAGATGGAGGTTCATCGGGTATCTCAGTTTGGGACATTTTGCATCGGCCTGGAATAAAAGTTCTGCCTTTCCCTAAAACAATGAAAATTTTTTTTTTTTCCTCAGATGTTATACACATGTCATTAATGAAAACTAATCGATTTTTAAAATTTTATATAATAAGTATATACTAACTGTATATACTCTAACTGCTCCCAGTGAGGAAACTTTTCATTACAGGCATTTTACATATTTTATAGATTTTATATTTTACAAATTAGTTAGTTCTTATCAGTTTAAGATAAGAACTAACTAATAGCTGTGAATAGCTACAGCATATTCACATAAATGTGTCTATAAAAAGTATTGACACTCGTGGATGTTACACTCTTTTTCTGTTTTTACAAATCAGTCGTGGTCAACAAAATTGGGCTTTTGTGGCAAAAAATCCCTTTAATATCAAAGTGAAAACTGGTTTCTACAAATTTATGACAATTAAAAAAATATTTATTGTAAAATAAGTGATTGCATAAATATTCACTCCCTTTAAAGTGACTGAACTAATTCAACAGAGATGCTAGCGTGACAGCAAGTTCTTGACCTTTTCATTTAAGATTCATTCTGTGAAAAATATTAAAACTTGGTAATAAGATTGTATTCACAAGAAGGATTTTGGTATTTGCGGGTGCATCAACGTGGCCTCAACACTGGCAACCAACTTGGCACGACAATAAATCACTCTGGCTCCTTGTGTGCTGCAAAAATTCTGACTGACATTTTCATGCAGGCCAGAAACATGGCTGGGCCGGCAGTTTGTCTTTAGCATCTTCTTGGGAGACATGTTTGGACAAATACTATCCTCCTGACAATGACCTAAACTTTATTACAGAGCGTCCAATTTATGCCACTGACAAAGACAGATGAGGGGGAAATATACGAGAAACTCCCTCCCTTTCCTCTACCCTTCTCTGCTTCACGGTCTGTTTCCTACAACATCTTCACCAGGCAATCTGCGTGGTCCACCAGGAGTTAGATTTGTTGCTATGGCAACAACAATAGTAGTGCTCCCAGGTAACGTCAGGTTTAGTTTTACCGCTCTCTTGCTACAGGGATGCTAAGCAGTGAAATTCTCCTCCCAGTGTGTGTGTGTGTGTGTGTGTGTGTGTGTGTGTGTGGGTGTGTGTGTGTGTGTGTTGACAGAACTCACGAACACACTGCATGGGTGTGAATATGAGCTTGCATGCACACCAAGGAGCGCCGCTCGCATGCAGTGTTACATCATCTCAGAAAAAAAAACACACCAGCACTCTCCAGCCCACCAACACGGTCCTGCAGTGGTTGTCAGATTTTATACAGCGTTTGCTTGACTCAATGCTTTCCATCTCGCCGTCCTCTTCCTCCCATACCCAATACACTCCTACACTATATTTTTATTATCAATCACACAGTTCTTCTCTCCACCAAGCTGCCCAGGGCTAAATTTAAAATCAATAGATTATCAGGACTTCTGCTGAGCATCTAAATGTGCTGATATTGCTTTTAGATTGTAGTGTATATAAGATTATTGTTGATGTGGAGCTCTTCAATGATGAGGTCCCTTAATTAAGTTTATTACGTCTTCTGCTAGAACTCAACGTCCAAAGCAAATTTAATTTCTCTTTCATATTTCCCACAAGGTTTTCCTATTTGGATTCCTAAATAGATATACTTGTTGATAAAAAAAAGAATAAACAATTTACCCAATAAGAAAGTGTTGTGACTTTAAAGTTGCCCTTAAATTAATAATTTAAGGAGCGATTGAAAATTTCCCCTTCGAACCTCATCGTGTCTTGAAAAAGTATTTGTAGCCCTTAAACTTTTTATGAAGTTACAACCATATTCCTCAATCTATTTTGTTCAGATTTTATGTGATAGACCAACACAAACTACTGCACATTTTGTGAAATAATTCAAATGTTTTTGTCATATTAATTCAGCCCCTTGGACTGAATTATTAAGATAAACCTAAATTAAATTCAGTGCAACTGTTGTGGAATAAAAAAAAAAACTATTTCCAAGCACTGTCAGGTGAAATCACTCAATCAGGTCTATTCATATATTGTGCACAATAAAGAGAGCTTGTAGGACAATCAATAATGAAGCAGTTGTGGGTGAAAAGCTCTGCCAGGCAGAGACAACACTTGAGTTTTATACCAAGGATAACGGATCCAAAACAAGAGGCGAGACAGTCTGGTTCCGATGCAGCTGTAAAAAACAACTCCCAGCCTTGTACATGTAACCCAAATAGCTTCTTTTGGTGGGAGTTCACAAGCATTTAATATGACATGGTCAGCAGATGTTAACTTGTGATCATTTTCCACCGCAGCAACCAAAATACTTTAGAAGTCACCAAATTCATTGACTTAATGTCTATGATATTTAATCACATTTATTATATTGTGATTAATATAGTAATCACAATGTTATATGCAAGTGTATATTCAGCACACTTGAATATAAGCCACACCCACTATGTCACGCACCAAATAAACTGTAGCCAAACACCCCCACAGCATGATGCTGCTACCATTATCCTGCTTGGCAATTGTTATAGTGTTAAGTTTGAAAACCATCTCCAAGCAAACTTATTTTTATTAGTCAGTCTTTGTTTCATGACATTAAAATGTCGCACCAGAAGGGAATCTGTCAAGTGCCGAAAGAAGCTTTAAGATGTTGATTTCAATTTGTTCAGCACCTTGTTTGCATGCTGGAGTTTGTGTCTGCAACATTGACCCAATGTGAATCAGAGAAAATCTGCAACACATAAAAACGAGTGCAGTATTGTTTTTGATTCATTGCAGTCATAAGTTATATAATCAGTCACACGGTTAAGAGAACAATTCAAATGCATCGTTAATAAGCTAAATTGAATAGAATGTTTTTGGCTGTGAAGAGCAAATGCTCAACACTAACCAAAACTGTTAACAACCCAAAAGGGAGATCTTACCTTTATTGACATGTTGTTGTCATCAATGAGGGTATCTGTCAGCTCTAGATGTCCCTCTTCAGCCACTTTCTGAAGCACCATGCAGAACGTCCCGACCAGTCTGCAGCAAAAGAGAAAGGCACACAATTTAAAACAGTGAAATAAGACAACACATTACTTGTTTTTGTTGTTTTTTTTTTTTACATTTGGTCTACTCTGCTGCACATTTGTTCAACCATGTAGTCTCACTGAGTCTTTGCAACATCACTTCTGCCTTTTCACTTACAGTAATAAAAAAATGGCTAATTGTATTTCCTGCTTGCTGACCAGAGGCATCTGCTCTCCACTGTGTTTCCTTCCTCACAGTGTGGAGGTGAATGTGTCATGAACAGAAGCTGCTTTGGTGAGATGAAACACACTGAGAAAGTGCCACACTGTCACCCCCTCACACACAGAATCTCAGACTTTAAACACAATATATATATATATATATATATATA